GGTGAACATAGAAGGTACATATTATTGAGTTAGTGTTTTCATTTCCTTCAGATAAATACCTGGAAGTGGAATTGCTGGATCATATGGTAGTTCTATTTTTAATTTTTTGAAGAACCTCCATATTGTTTTCCAGAGAGGCTGCACCAATTTATAGTCCCACCAACAGTACACAAGTGTTCCTGTTTCTTCACAGCCTCACCAATATTTGTTATTTCTTATCTTTTTGATAATAGCTACTCTAACAGATATAAGGTGATATCTCACTGTGGTTTTCATTTGCATTTCCCTGATGACTAGTGATGTTGAGCATCATTTCATATACCTATTGGCCATCTGTTTGTCTCCTTTGGAAAAATGTTTATTCTTTACCCATTTTTAAATGTTTTAAAATTGGATTGTTGGTTTGCTTGCTATTGAGTTGTATGTATTCTTTATTTTGGAATTAGCCCCTTATCAGATATATGATTTGCAAATATTTTCTCCCATTCTGTAAGTTGGCTTTTCATTTTGTTGATAGTTTTGTTTACCGTGCAGAATCTTTTTAGTTTGATGTTGTCCTGCTTGTTTGATTTTGCCTTTGTTGCCATTGCTTTTGGTGTCAAATCCAAAAAATCATCACCAAGACTGATGTCAAGGAGTGTATGGCCTATGTTTTCTTCTAGGAGTTTAATCGTTTCACGTTTAATGTTCAAGTCTTTAATCTATTTTGAGTTGATTTTTGTGTATGATATGAGATAAAGGTCCATTTTCATTCTTTTGCAGGTAGCTGTCTAGTTTTCCCAACACCATTTATTGAAGAAACTGTCCATTCAACATTGTATATTCTTGACTCCTTTGTTGTAAATTACCTGATCATATATGCATGGGTTTATTTCTTGGCTCTCTATTCTGTTCCATTGATCTATCTGTCTGCTTTTATGCCAATACCATACTATTTTGGTTACTATAGCTTGTAATATAGCCTGAAATCAGGAATTGTTATGCCTTCACCTTTGTCTTTGTTTTTCAGGATTGCTTTGGCTATTCAGGGTATTTTTTGGTTCCATACAAATTTAGGATAAATTGTTCTATTTCTGTGGAAACTGCCATTGGAATTTGATAGGGATTGCATTAAATATGTAGATTGCTTTGAGTATTATGCACATTTTAACAATATTAATTTTGCCAACCCATGAGTACATGTTTTTCTATTTATTTGTGTCTTCAATTTCTTTCATAAATGTCATAGCTTCCAGTATACAGGTCTTTTGCCTTCTTAGTTAAATTTATTCCTAGTTATTTTATTCTTTTCAATGCAATTGTAAA